ATTGAAAAAATTCAATGTAATTCTTCCGTATGGAAAAGTTAATCTCGAATTTTTTTTTTTTTTAGAATAATTCTAGGTCGGAGATAAATCGTTATAATAATTATATGTGTTCGGATATATCTTGGAATAATTTTTCTATGAAAATAAATAAATGGGACGCATATTTTGTGTGTGTGTGTTATTTGCGAAAAAATTTCAATCATTTATAAATATTTAATCTGAACGCGCGATTAAATTTAATTATATTTTCTTATACGTGTAAAATAATATCGATTATTCAATGGTATAATTGTTTTTTTTCTTCCCAGGTATCGTATTATATAAAAAACAAAAAAAACAAACACGCGTTAAAAAATTGTCTGTTGGTAGGAGAACATCGAACTGAGTATATAATTATGTAGATAAATTGTAAAAACTATCTATTCGTTTATACTCGTATACATTCATTGTCTTCTTCTATGTTTACATTCGTTCATCAGCTGCTAGACATAAGTTTCTTATGATTAGTTTGGTTTTAATCGTCGACCTGTGCAGTCAAACTGTTCGTAACAATTCCCGCTTAGGTATATATTATATTTTCTTTCATTTTTTAAATCATTCTCATCATCAATATGAATTATTTTAATGACGTATAATAATATTAATCGATATACTTTATCATTTGTTAATTATTATTCAATATTTAAATTTACGAGATATTTGCAATAATGATTTTTTCTAAAATACAGGATCACCCCTATACTCATTCAAGAATATTATTTTTATATATGTTTAATTATATTATATGTTTTCTCGTATGTGTGTGTGTGTATCTGTATGGTTTATATAAATATAGTAATATGAAACAAAGTGTTACATTTATCTATAATAATATAATATCTAATAATTAATTATAATTATATTTTACCTATTATCTCTAATAATATATATATATATTTTTTTTAACATATAATATAATAAAATATAAGATATATATCTTTTATTTAATATAATATATTATATGATAATGATATACTTTATCATTTGTTAATTATTATTCAATATTTAAATTTACGAGATATTTGCAATAATGATTTTTTCCAAAATACAGGATCACCTATACTCATTCGAATATTATTTTTATATATATTTAATTATATTATATGTTCCCTCGTATGTGTGTGTGTGTGTGTATC